TTTTCATTTTTATCAGTGAAATATCTCTTGAATCAGTTCTTTCTTTGTTCACGGCTGCTACCTTGTTCAGATATACATCTCATACATATTTAAATATATGCATATAGATGGTGCTTTGCTTTCTAATTATAAATGTGATGTGTACTGGCTGTAAGAAAATCCATTACAGATCAGGTGTGAAAGTTCTCCAGCCCCAACTTCTAAAGATAACCATCATTAAGGGTATAGTATACACTCAATTTTTTTCTATGAATACAGTAGCATATTATGCCTTTAAAATTTTTTAAATTGATTTTTAGAGAGAGGGAGAGAGAGAGAGGAACATCAATGTGAGAGAGAAACATCAATTGGCTGCTTCCCAATCGGGGATCAAACCCCAAACCCGGGTATGTGCCCTGACCAGGAATGGAACCCACCACCTTCTAGTGTATGGTACCACGCTCCAACTGCACACTGGCCAGGGTTATTATGCCTTTTTAAATGGGATCACATCATCTTGAAACTTGCTTACTTCATGTATCAGCACACACAGAGCTACCTTGTTTTTTTTAAATTAGTTTAAACATACACATTTTATACAAAGCTCAACAGGCACAAAAGGGTATTTTATGAAAAAGAAGTCTCCTTTCACCCTTGTTCCCCAGCCACCTATCAGAATTGCTGCCACCAGTTTTCTCCACCAGTTTCTTGGGTAGCCTTCCGGGGCCTCATTTCTTTTAATAGTAACATAGCTTCACATTGTATGAATGTCCCAAATCCATATACCAAATTATTTTGGTGTTTCATTAGAGAACACTTAGACTGTTTCCAGTGCTATTACCTACTAGAATCTACATTCCATGTCAGTCTTATCAATTACTTATCACTCTATTTCTTTTTAATCCTCACCTGAGGATATTTTCTCCATTGCTTTTCAGAGAGGGTGGGAGAGAGAGAAAAAAACATAGAAGTGAGAGACATCCATTGGTTGCCTCCCGCATGCGGCGGGACCCGGGATAGAGCCTGAAATCGAGGTACGTGCCCCTGGCTGAAATCAACTGGGACCCCTCAGTAGGGGGGCCAACGGCACTAACCGCTGGGCGAAACCCTCCAGAGTTCCCTCTTAACTTTTATTAGCAACATGGTGCTCCACATTGGACAGATGCGCTGTAATTCATTTACCCATTTTTCTACTGATGGGAATTTAGGCTTAAACTCCATTTGCCCTGCTCCTGGGGCACTTGTGCTGTTAAGCACTTTTGCAGTTTTGCTGGCAATTTAGTTTATGTCCTCCACCGAACTGTGAGTCCTCGAAGTCAGGGAAAGTATGCATATTCATTCTTGTATCTTCATTGCCTAGCCCCGAATTTGGCCCGGAATATATGCCCACGACACTTGAGTGTAATAATTGTTCTGCAAATGAGTGTGGAGAGACAGAACGAGGGGAAAGCGGAGCTCTTTTGAGTNTATGCCCACGACACTTGAGTGTAATAATTGTTCTGCAAATGAGTGTGGAGAGACAGAACGAGGGGAAAGCGGAGCTCTTTCTTGAGCTGTCCCAGGCTGAGAGCCCGGAACTATTGTTGCGCATATCGTTGTTTCTCAGGGACGATTTCAGCGTCAGTGTGTACCCCGCACAAACATGGTTGCTAAGCACCGGAAGTATCCGGTCATTTTGCTAGAATTAGTTCTTCCGCGGGGCGGAAAAGGTATGTCTGCCTGTGTCCTGACCATTTCCAGCCCTCTTTCCTAGCAGGAACCCATGAGTAAGCTGTGGCGGCGCGGGAGCACCTCTGGGGCTATGGAGGCTCCTGAGCCAGGTAAGCGCCGGTCGATAAAGCAACTTAGGCCTTTGCAGGAAAGGAGCTCCTTTCTCGCTCCTCCGAGCTTCCAAGGGACTTCGCCACAGGTGGGAGGAGAAAGGCGGGACTGTTGCTATGGTAACAGCGAGTACCGCGGGAAGAGAGGGACCCCTTAAGGATATTGGGGTTTTTCAGGACTCTCACTGCCCCACTCCTGCCTTATACCTTAGACAGACTCTCCTTCCGCAGGGGAAGCGCTGGAGTTGAGTCTGGCGGGTGCCCACGGCCACGGAGTGCACAAGAAAAAGCACAAGAAGCACAAGAAGAAACACAAGAAAAAACACCATCAGGAAGAGGAGGCTGGGCCCACGCAGCCTTCTCCTGCCAAGCCCCAGCTCAAACTCAAAATCAAGCTGGGCGGGCAGATTCTGGGCACCAAGAGGTGAGGCCAAGAGAGCCAAGGTTTTACTTGGGGAACTTTAGGAGCAGGCAGAGATGGAGAAGCTGACTGGGCTTTCCAGAAGACAGAAAATGGACACCGTGACTTCAGGGCCCAGGAAGAACCCTAGAGGGTGTGGGGAAAGCTCGATGTAGCTGCTGAGCAGAAGGACGACACTTGCTCAGATTACAGAGTGGTCTTGCTTCTCTGCAGTGTTCCTACCTTCACTGTGATCCCTGGGGGCCCTCGATCGCCCTCTCCCCTTATGGTCGTGGACAATGAAGAGGAACCTATGGAAGGAGTCCCGCTTGAGCAGTACCGTGCCTGGCTGGGTGAGAAGGATCTGGAGGTGGGGAAACAGGGTTTCTCATTATACCTGATTAAAGGGAGAAGGCTGCTTCTGAGGCGAGTGAGAATTTTGAGTGACCCAGTATTAACTTGGCCAAATGTGGGTGCCCCATCTGAACAATTCTACTTTTATCACTCCAGATGAAGACAGTAATTTGTCCCCCTCCCCACTTCGGGATCTGTCAGGGGACTTAGGGGGTCAGGAGGAAGAGGAAGAACAGAGGTGGTTGGATGCCCTGGAGAAGGGGGAGCTGGATGACAATGGAGATCTCAAGAAGGAGATCAATGAACGGCTGCTTACCGCTCGACAGGTAAGTTGGTTCATTCTTTATTCAGGTACCAAATATTTAGAGAACTTCCAGGTCCCAAGAACTTTGCTGGGCAGTGGGCAATCAGTGATGGAAAAAATACACTATTTCTGTTCTCATGGAGCTGGTATTCGTGTTTGTTGGGGTGGGTGGGTAAATAAGTAATTCTGAAAAGCTGTTAAGTTTATGACAAAAATAGGGTGATGAAACAGAAAGTGGTAGGAAAGAAACCATTAGATAGGGAGGGAAGACCTCTTTGAAGAGGTAACATTTCCAGTACCAGAGGAGCTTTTTAAGCATTGAGCAGTTATGTAACTGATGCTCCATTGAGATAAAAAGATTTAAAACAAAAAAATCCCCAGAAATGTGGTGCAAAGAATTTGGTACTTAGGGCAGGTAGGTAACATTACTAATACTTTTCCCCTTGAGAGTCAAGGATCTAAAGTTGGAAGTCTGGAGACAGTATTAAGGGCTCCTGGAAAGGGTACTCATTCCACCCTTCTCCCAAGGCCTGCGCTCCTTAAGACCCTTGCTTTTCACGTGCTCTCTTCCCCTTCCCCGTGGACCTCGATTCTCCATTTTCTGAGACCACTTCTCTCTCTCTCTCCCCAGCGAGCTCTGCTCCAGAAGGCTCAGAGTCAGCCTTCCCCAATGCTGCCGCTGCCTGTAGCCGGGGGCTGCCCGGCCCCCGCCCTCACCGAGGAGATGCTGCTGAAGCGTGAGGAGCGGGCGCGTAAGAGGCGGCTGCAGGCGGCGCGGCGGGCAGAGGAGCACAAAAACCAGACTATCGAGCGCCTCACCAAGACTGCAGCGCCCAGCGGGCGTGGAGGCCGAGGGGCCGCAAG